TGAGCCAAGTAAGTAGTTGGCAGTTGCGAGTAAGTTGTCAGTTCTGGAACACCTTAGCCCTAGAATATAAATGTCGAAATGTCCAAAAGTTGGCCATCATTTGAGATTTTAAAATTTCTCCCCAATGCTAATATAAACTTATATTTAAATTGTAATACCTCTTGAGTTCACTGTTGTTGGTCTGCTTGCTCGAAACTGAACTTTAAACATACCCTACCTCTATCCTCATTATCTATTACCAGTACCCTGCCAAAGGTTTTCACTGCTTAGCTACCTTCCTAATGCAGGAACATGCAGCACCAATTCAGTCCTGACCAATGCCCCACCTCCCCGCCAAGCCACAAAACCGTTACACCCCCTCAAATGGCAGGAAAGCTGGCAAGGATAATGGAAAATGCCACAAGATTGTGATCGACATGAAAAGAAATATTTGAGCAAAGTATAGGGAGAGAAATAAATCAAAACACACAATATATAGTATACAAAGCATATAACACATTGAATCAATCATAAGAATAAGAATGCAGACATGCGAGCAAATCCTTAAGGATACCAAACAATGCCAACGATTACAAAGGCAGGCCAGGAGAGGACAGGCCCGGTCTGGAGGGTGAGGCAATGTTGCGCGTGCGCAGCGCACGCTCCCATTAAATGTTTACGCTATTAGTGTAAGGGAGCAGGCAAAGCGTCAGAGTTCAACGCTAACAACAAAAACAACAACAACAACAACAACAACAAGAATAGCAGCAAGGAAGTGCTGCTAGGCTCCGGAAAACACAAATCTTGCGCGCCAATGTCGCGATCCCTTGGCATTTGCCAGTTGCCTCGAAGTGTGGCACACGCAACATTTGAATATCTTGAGAGGTCTTTGGGTCCCTTGGAGTTCAAATTTGAGTTCCAGTTCCAGTTCGGGTTCAAAACACTTAAGGGTGGCTCTGAAAAATGTCTCACAAATGAATTTCGTATTCCTTTGGGACTTGCTTTGCTTCGTTTTGTTTTGTTTTTCCTCTGAAGTGACATTCAAATGAGCGCGGGGTTAAGTCAGCCCCTCTGTCCTCTGCCCTCTACCCACTGACAATGTCTTTAACACAATCCTTAGCAGTTTAACATCTGCGCCGTAGGAAGTACGTAGGAGGTCGATGTCATGCACTAATTTCTGACAGTAGTTTCTGTTAATTTTTCAGCTCACCAAAAATTTGTTGCGCTCCCTTTTTCATAAATTTTCTGGCGGCATGTGTTTGTGAGATTGTTGTTCAGTTTTTGTGGAATATTGCTAGTACTTTAAACGAAAGTGTTAGCTGGCGATATGAATCCAATAATTAACATAAACAGCGTGAAAGAGAGAGAGAGGGAAAGATCAAGAAATATTTTAAAAGTTTTTATATTAAAGGAATAGTTTTTAGATTGAATTGAGACTCTCTTAGAGCTAAATTTTCGAGGCTGATAACTTCACAAGCTACAGTCAATTTGGTTAGATGAAGACAATCCTTGCGCCAAAACAAGTGTGTAATCCTCATTATCCTATTGTCAACAATCTAGCTAAAACAAATCCCATATATGCAACAGAATAATAAACAATTAACGCCTTGAAATTTGTTTTAAGTAAACACAATAGATAAACGAAAACTCCACTATAAATTCTAATTCTTATGCGAACAACTCTATTTTTCAAGTTTAATAATTGTGCAAGAAAGAAATAATTAGTTAAAGTATAGTAAGAATCTAAAACATTCTAGTTTTTATTTTAATTATACAATTTCTCCTTCTTAGGCTTTTCTAGCTTAAAAGATGGTTTTTATAATTTTTATACATTTTCCTCCTATGTCGACAGTCAATGTTTGTTGACATAAATAAATAAAACCTTTGATTGCAGATTCTTGTCTGCATCCTATAAACATAAATTAACAAGAAATACATTGGGGTGTCAAATTTTATTAAACTCTATTAAACTTGGCCATAAGTTGCAGCCGATTTTAAGCAAAGATAATTTGCTTAAATAATCTTCATTTATCTGCCTGCAGAGAAGAAGAAATATGAACGTGAAAGTAAAGCCTTATTAATTGAAAAAAGACATGAACATCTATTTAGAACAGGAACTTAAAATGCATAAAAAAGTTGGCTCAGAAAAGATTATCTCTAAAACAAAATATTAGTACATATTCACACAAAGTGTTATTCGGTTTAAATTATAATAGTAACAAACAGATTTTGTTAATTTTTGGTATTTATATTGAAACGATATTAGGAATATTTAGGAATTTATGTTTTTTAATCTGTTTCTACCTCTCATTCAAAGCAATATTTTCAGAATTGCATTTATAAGTATAAGTATCATAAAAACTAACATTCTGGGCAACAAACTAACTGCAAAAGCGACGTATGCTTTAAAATATTTAGAAAATTCGGCAGCACTCTCCATTGAATATTTTGATGTACATCTCGGCCACGCCCTCGCTACATTGGTTTTCTTATGTAAGGCTTAACACCTCCATGCCGGCAATTCATAATGAATGAGTTAAGAGCATCAACAAACTAAGCATTAACATATAGTTCCCATCGCTCGCGACTACTGGCACTGCATCGCATGTGTTGCTTTGACCCTTTCTGGCAGGCACGAGCACGAAACTGACTTGTTCGGGACACGCCCGCATGTTGTCCTCGAACAGAGGCTACAGCAGCGGCAGCGCCAGGACATGTGTTAATCAAGTAGCGGCCTCAGCAGTGCATAACTCAACCGACTCGAGGTCTCAGCAGCCTGCACTAATTTTGTAATTTCGAAGGAGGAGGACTAAACAGCTGCCACTCGACTGGTGTTGTTGTTATTGCATCGACAAAGGACTAAATATAGTCAGAGTTGGTGTCGGTGGCGGTGTCGGTGTCGGAGTTGGGGTGCAGCTTGCCGCTTGCCGCTTGGGATTTATGTGACAGAATTCTCATGTTTACGCTTAATTTTTGTTTAATTTTTATGGGCGCCAAAACTGGCGGCTGTCTTTGCTAACATTAAATGTTTTTCTGACATCCAGCATGAATGGACGAATTGGCCATTTGTCTGCAATGGATCGCTGGCTGTTTGTGTCCTGTTTTGAGCAAATAACAAAAAGGTAACATGAGCTAAAAAACCAATAACCATTCGCAATTGTTGCCGCATTACAATTGTCTGCGCAATCCGGAAATGTCCTGGCCGGACAAGATGGATCGCCCAAAATGCACTCGAAAGGATCGAGAGAAGGAAAACCAACCCCCGGGCATTGCACTCACTCGGAAATTACAACTTGAGTGAAAACTGAAAACTGAGCAGCAGAAAGGTTGAATAGCAAATCAATGGCCAGCCCGGGACCTCTGTGACATGCCTAAGTAAGTCTAAACTTGACCTCTAAGACGACCTCAGAGTTGCGCGCGGCACCTTTTCTTGTGTCTCTGGAATGCGCGCGCGCTCCTTGCTGCCTTTATGTCCTGCACGGATCATTGTTGTTGGCAGCCGTTTGACCTTTTCTTCATACGTCTGCCTTGGCACCCGCTCGCCCTTTGTCTCCTGTTCGACCGCTTTGCCAACGACAATAGTCCTTGCAATAAATGTGATAAAGATTGCTTTTTGTTTTCAGCGCAATTGCTTGGACGTTGTGCCATAAATCGCCGGCCGTCTGGGGTCTGTGCTGAGCAATGCCTGCCATGAATGATGCCTTAATTGAGGCGAGGGCGACGGCGCAGGCGCAGCAGCTGAATCCAGCCTCTTCCACTGAATTGTGCCCGCACGTCCCCTAAACTGTGGACATATGTAATTCCTAAAATGTAATGCGCGCCAACAAAAAAACAAAGCTTATACTGTGTGGAGGGTATCCCCAAGTGGCTAACGAATTGCTAGTTGTTGAAACATAACATATAGGCAGTATTTCATCGAAAGTCATAGATCCCTAGGCTACTTTAATTATAAGACACTATCAGTGTTTACGTAAAAGAGAAAGTCGCTCAAGCCAAAACGACAATAGATATCTGCAAAAGTCGAGGTAAGGTCTACTCCCAGGCTTTTTAATGATTTCAAGTTTTATTTAAGTATGTATCTTCTGACGCTTAGCTGCTATATCGTTTACAAAATTTCATCAGTCAAGAATAAACCTGTTCTTTAAATTTGCTCTCCCGAAAAATCATTAAGCTGGCCATTGGTTTCATTTTAAATACACAAATGGTGTGTTACACTATAAAAAAAACCCATAATACATATGCATGTAGATTCTCAGCTTATTTATAAAAGCATTGTTCTGAAAAAATTTCATTAAGTTTTATGTCAATTTTAATCATAATCAGAATTTATGTCAGACTTAGTACTTTCGCTATAAGTTTCTAATCTTGCCAAGAGGTTTTTTATATGAACATTAGTAGTCATTCAATGCTAGGTCTCATTGCACAGATCTGAACAAGACGTGTGGAAAGCAAAAATCTTTTGAATATATATGCCATTCCATTCACACGAAGTAAATTGTTTTTGCGGGTGAAAAAACATTTGACTTTTGTAAACAACTGTTTGCTTAGGACTGCCAAAATTTTCCTTTAACTCTTCACTTCCAAGCATTTGTTTACTCTTTATCTATACTGCAGTTATAGTATATTATAATTATAAGTATATTATATTATAATTATATATATAAAAATATATTTTTATTATATTTTGGTTTTACAATAATGAGTGTTATTTCGGCAACTAACTAATTCGTCAAGCTTTTATGAAATTTACCAGAGGTTTTCTAACGTTGCAAAATGTTGTATCGAAAAACGTACTAGAACTTCCATTTATTTCTTTGATCAAGTCATAAAAACGTGAATATAATAAAAGTTCAAAAATATATAAAACCGTTAGTTACTCTAGCACCATCTAGTAGTTGAACAAATTATCAGAACTTCAGCGCCATCTACACTTGAACACTCTGCTGAAATTACACAGCACTAATCATGTTGCAGCACTTTGCCACCCCGAGTCATTTTTGATTAGGTGGCAACAGAAAACGCGTCAGCTGTTCAGTGGTAGCATGAATCTTGCTAAAAGTTTACGTTTCATTTATTAAAGCCACTACAATAATGAGTCAATATAGTCATGTTAAATATACGACATCACCAACGCCATCCGTTGTCTCGGGCTATACATCCGCCTCGCGGGCCCAATCTCCGCTACCGCCGCCCATAAACTATCGCAAAGATTGCCTCTCCGCGACTACAAAAAGCTACAAATATTTGCGACGTTTACTCAAATTCAATCAAATGGACTTCGAATTTGCGCTCTGGCAAATGGTTTATTTGTTTATAGCGCCACAGAAAGTATATAGGAACTTCAATTATAGGAAACAAACAAAATCACAATTTGCGCGAGACGATCCTGCATTTCTAGTGCTGTTGATCATTTGTCTATGTGGTACGTAAAATTCTGATTCCGTTTGACTTAATAATAATGACACGATTTCGTTTTCAGTTACTTCTGTAGGTTTTGCCTATGTGTTGGGATTGTCCCCTTGGCAGAGCATATCCTTTATATTCTATGTTGTGTTTGTGGATTGCATTTTTGCGGGTGTCATCATAGCCTCATTTTTCTGGGCTGTCACGAATCGGTATTTGCGTGCAAGCAATCTAGAGCCGGATATTGAATGGGGATATGCCTTTGATGTACATCTAAATGCGTTCTTCCCGCCGCTGATGCTGTTGCATTTTATTCAGTTATTTTTTTACAACTGGCTTATTAGCCAATCGTGGTTCATTTCTCGTTTTCTTGGCAATAGTTTCTGGCTACTCGCGATGAGTTATTATGTCTACATCACCTTCTTGGGCTACAACTGTAAGGCAACATTTACTTAAATATTCCGAAATGTTTAGCTAATGATTTATTTGTCTGCAGGCATACCGCATTTGAAGAATACGCGACTTATACTCATCGCCCTGCCCATTATCTTTCTGCTATATCTCGTCGTCACCATTATTGGCTGGAATGCGACAGTTTCATTTATAAACTTTTATAAATACCGCGTCTATTGATTTTTTCGTTTGTGGCACATTGCGTAGCTTTCTGTGTAAATTATAATGCTTTTAGATTATAGATCCAAAACTTATGACTAATAAACCCACTAGCATTACCCATGTTAATCACACATCCATATGAGAAAGTCAACACTTTTTATTTTATTACTAGTGGGATAACAAATGCAGTTTCTACGCCAACTGTTTCGGTTTTATAAAGGTGCGCTTGCGCTTGTTACGCTTGCGTTGCAGTTCCAAAGTATGCAGCTCAGTGTGCACCTCCGCAAAGATTTCCTTCTGCTCCTCTTCTGGTATGGTCGAGCGATATTGTTTCATTAAATCGAACTTCTCCCAAGGTTTTTGCACCTTCAATGCCGATTTGCGGTGCTTCTCCTTAATGTATTGATCTATATTGGCCACACCGAGCAAATTCTGCCGCTCCCAGCGTTCCAACCAGGGACGTGGTCGTAATACCACTTTTATATCATTTACTGGAACCGGCGTCCCCTCCTCTAGATGTTCGGCATCCATGTTTTCATCGAACGTGCTATATTCGGGAAGGGCGTCACGCAAATAGAAAAGACTATCGTCGAGACGTTTCTCCAGGCGCAAGACTTCCACCTTTTGTATCGTAGGATCGTACAATTCGTAGACCACCTCTACACCCTGATGGTCGATCACGTTACGCAGAATAAATCGGGCTCGGAGTCCACATTTCTCGCGATGTATGCAAATACCCACAAAGCGGCTCACTTTGCCAGCTGCATGAGGATCCGAGCTGGTCACGGCCAAGATAGAACCCACATAAAATTCGGGCAAATCAATCTGTCGTCGGCGGTCTAACATGTCCAGCCGCTCCAATTTCTCGCGAATATTGTTGCGCCATTCAATTTTTGGATCAGGCAGGAACTCTGGATAGACGAAGCGATAATGTGGCGGCACAAGAGGCTTTCGAGCAGGACTAGTATTGTTGCTTACAGCTGCATCCTGTTGGGTTTGGGAACCGCCGGGCGAGGTGGTGGCCGCGGCTGCGGCTGCAGGAGCTTGCTGAATCGGCTTCGTTGAAAATGTGACTGATGAAAGTGTGCGATTGCTTAGGAGTGCTGTGTATCTTATTTCAATATTATGACTTACCCAAGCATTTATAAGCACACTCCGTTAGCTTTTTATTCAAAATTCTATTGCTCAAGTTCATTTTTACTGGAAATAAATGTTTAGATAATCACTCGCCTTCTCATGCCGTGCAAGTGAATAACAGCCCTGTGTTTTTCGATAAAGTGGCAGCCGGCGGGCCATTTTTCAACTCCAGTGGCAACGCTTGCTGTAACAGCTGGTAACTGCGTATATCTGATGTTTTGATATAAAAGGGCTAGGAAATGATCAATGGATCAAGTAAAGTTGTTAGTTGTGTGAGTAGTACATTAACAACGAAAATAAAGAACGCCTGCTTGTAAACCAAAGCTATTAGGCAATTTGCACGTCAAGCGATCGGCGCCACAACACGGAGAGTAAAACACCCACTGAAATTGATACTCCGAAACCGCAACCACAAATCCATAGACTGTGCGATAAATAATATGTTAACCCATCTGCCTTTATTTGTGAGCGGTGAAGTGACGCCGGGCTTTAAACGTGGATCCAAGGAGCTGGGCATTCCCACAGGTTTGCATAAGCTGTTGTACAGCAAAGGTCACTACACACGATAAGAATCTATGCGTATACATGTATTTTTTCTTGCCAGCTAACTTTCCTTTGGAGGTCGTCAGATCGCTGCCTGAATCTTTTATTACTGGTGCCTACTATGGCTGGGCTAATATAAACAATGGCGAGGTGCACAAAATGGTAATGAGCGTGGGCTGGAATCCGTTCTACAATAACAAGGAGAAGAGTGTTGAAACCCACATACTTCACAACTACAATTGTGATTTATATGGCAATACATTAAAAATCTGCATTGTGGGCTTCTTACGACCTGAGCGCAACTTCGATTCCTTGGAGGCATTAATTACGGCAATAAAAGCTGATATTGAAGAGGCTAAACTTAAATTGGACAGTGCTGAGAATCTAAAGCTGAGAGATGATCCCTTCTTTACGAGCGACGTAAAAAGCTGTGAATAGTTGTTTTTTTTTTAATGATTTTTAAGTGGCTTATATCTTATCGAATATGCTGAAAGATGCACGTACATGACTAGGCACTTGTACTTAGACACTCGAATTAAACACCGTTAATTCCAACAACTGAAATCAAATTGTTTATTTGCTGCCAATTAGTTTTTTCTACTAAGGGTTGTGTCACAGCTAAGTGTTCACAGTTCACTGAAAGCTAATTACACTATCGATTGTGAACGTTCACGTGCTTTAATTGCTTCTGTTTAGCTTGAATAATCACGGCGTGAGTAGTAATTGGTTTGGGTGAAGTTTTTAAGTGGCTTATATCTTATCGATCAAACGGAAAGATGCACGTACCAGACAGCAATGTCTAACAATAAACAAAGATACCAGTACTGGTGTCCAATAAGAATACAATATGTAAGGTGGTTGGTGTCACGACTAACCGCCAGTAATTCACCGTTGGTTTTACACCTCAACTATTGTGAATGATCGGTCGGTCGCGTGCTTCAATTGCGTCTGTATGTGTGTGCTTGTGCGAGTTAAGCTTGCTCGGGCCAGGCGTGTTTTTATTTCTTTTTTGTTAAGTTTTTCGTTTAACTATAAAATAGTTGCGTAAATCAAAAGGTAAGACATTTCGAAGCTAGACTTAAACTGCAACACACGCTTATCGGACTCCAAAAGCTTTTCGCAGTTTTGATACCAGCATCATGTCAAACTGCAGCGCCCGTAGCAGCAACGAGGGGCAGGCAAAGGGGGAGCAGCAACATGTGCGCCAAGTTCAATACGACGGCACGACAACACCACCGACTTCGATAGCCGAATGCAAGGAGCTGACCGGTTTAACCCACGAGTGTGGCGTATTTGGCGCAATTGCTTGCGGAGATTGGCCCACGCAGATAGATATCGCACATGTTGTCTGTCTGGGTCTGGTGGCTTTGCAACATCGGGGCCAAGAATCGGCTGGCATTGCTACGAGCGAGGGCAAATCTGGAAAGAACTTTAATGTTCATAAAGGCATGGGCATGATCAGCACCCTTTTCAATGAAGAAAGCATGAAAAAGTTGCGTGGCAATCTGGGCATTGGGCATACACGGTACTCCACGGCTGGAGGATCGGAGGTGGTCAATTGCCAGCCATTTGTGGTGCACACAGCTCATGGACCTTTGGCCTTGGCCCACAACGGCGAGCTGGTGAACAATGAGTCTCTGCGGCGCGAGGTCCTTACACGTGGTGTCGGCCTCTCCACACATAGCGACAGTGAATTGATAGCTCAATCATTGTGCTGTGCACCCGAGGATGTATCGGAAAACGATGGTCCCAACTGGCCGGCACGCATTCGTCACTTTATGACGCTGGCACCGCTCTCCTACTCCCTTGTCATCATGCTGAAGGACAAGATATATGCTGTACGGGATACCTATGGAAATCGGCCTCTGTGCATTGGCAAGATTGTGCCCATTAATGCGGGGCATGGTGCAAGCGCGGAGACACGAGCCGATGGCTGGGTGGTGTCCAGCGAGAGCTGTGGCTTCCTCTCGATTGGCGCTCGTTATGTGCGTGAAGTCGAGCCCGGCGAGATTGTGGAGCTGACTCGCAGTGGCTACCGAACTGTGGATATTGTGGAAAGGCCGGACTTCAAACGCATGGCCTTCTGCATATTTGAGTATGTCTACTTTGCCCGTGGTGACAGCATCTTCGAGGGTCAGATGGTCTACTCGGTGCGCATGCAATGCGGTCGACAGTTGTGGCGTGAGGCCCCCACCGAGGCCGACATTGTGAGCTCAGTGCCTGAGTCTGGAACGGCGGCAGCACACGGATATGCCCGCGAATCCGGTCTAGAATTTGCCGAAGTGCTCTGTCGCAATCGCTATGTGGGACGCACTTTTATACAGCCGTCGACGCGTTTGCGACAATTGGGTGTGGCCAAGAAATTCGGCGCTCTTTCGGAAAATGTGGCCGGCAAGCGACTGGTCTTAATCGACGACTCAATAGTCCGTGGCAACACCATTGGACCCATCATCAAGTTGTTGCGCGATGCCGGCGCCAAGGAGGTGCATATACGCATTGCCAGTCCACCGCTGCAATATCCATGTTACATGGGCATCAATATACCCACTCGAGAAGAGCTTATCGCCAACAAGCTGGACGCCAAGCAGCTGGCTCGTCATGTGGGCGCTGACACGCTCCAATACTTAAGTGTTGAGGGACTTGTTCAGGCGGTCCAGTTAAAGCGACAGACGAGCGGAGGAGGGGATAAGAGAATGACGGGTCATTGCACTGCTTGCTTAACTGGTGAATACCCCGGCGGGTTGCCCGACGAGCTGAGCTGGTGAGCTCACAACTCACGCCTCTCTTTTTTGTTTACTAAAAGCCATTATCCATAATCCATTCCATATAACTACTATCGACCATTCTCCACCAGACACAACGAAAACAATACGAATCTTCAACAGTATAAAAGCCTTAAGAGCGCTGCTCAAATTTCTGTCACAAATTTTTTAATTTGCATTTAGTATCCGATTTCGGATAAAAGCTCGAATACTATACGTAGTTTTTTGTATCTATACACACTTATTTCCATAGCCTTTAAGTAAAATGTAGGGCCTAGGAACCCAGCTATCTAAATATAGATCTTTGACAATTGCATTGTTTATAGTTTTAGTACTTTGTAGAGCCTACGAATGCCAATAAAAAAATTACAATTAGCAAAGACTAAGACAACTAATAGAGTAGAATATTGAATTACTTTGTGCGAATCACGGCCAACATTACATTTGAAGGCTACAAATCGATAGATGGGTAAGATAATACGAATGATAACCATTTTGCAGTGGCAATGCCCTACTTGCCTGAATTCCAAACACTAAGGCCTTTCAGAAATACGTTTTTTGCAGACCGGTTAAACGGTCGTTGTCTATGAATTATTAAAATTAATAAATGGGAAAAATGCTGCTCTAATTGAACAACGTTTAAATTATTATATTTATTTAATATTAAATAGAAAATATCATATCATTTCCCCAAAAAATGGATCAATTTGGTCATATTCTTAGTTTGTTTTCATTATTGAGTCTTCAATTACCAACATTTGAATTTAAAAAAAAAAATAAAATTGAAATTATATGCATGGTTTAAAGTTTTACGAATTCCAGATGCTCCTGAAGTTTTGTAAATGCGAACTCTTTTGTTCGGTAATTGCTGGAAATTCATAGTCCGATTTTTTGTTATGTTAAAATTAGTAATTTTCTATCTTATGTAAAAAAGATAAAGCGCTTACATTATCCATGCTTACGATTCCAGCATGTTCTCAAATTCCTTGAGCTCCAGTTCTCGCTCAATTACCTGAGTGTACAAATTGTCCAAAGTTTCTTGCATGCGCTGTTTCAGTGTCGCATTTTGTATTGAAGCAATTTCTGTTGATTTTTGTGCTTGTTGTGCCTTTAAGTCACTGATTTGACGAGTCAATAGACTGATCTTCTCCTGCACCTGTTGCTGCGAATATTGCGGTTGGGGGTCGTCGGCAAACTCCATCATGGCATCGAATTCATCGCCGCGTTTTGTCCCCATGCCACTGTCGTAGAATCCGCTCGGAGCAGCCAAATTTGAACTAGAGCCAGCAGCACTGAGTTTGGGACTGTTTGTCGTATCGCGGCCAAACATGGATTTGTTGAATTCCTGATGCTCCATTTTTGCAGTGCCAGTGGTGTCCCCACCACGACTAACCGCACCAGATCCACCGAAGAAATCAGACATGCGCGAATCATCGCCAGAAAGACGTGATGACTCTTCCATTTCATGGCGTGGACCACGCGTCTGATTGCCCTGACCACCCTCACCTTCAGAATCGGTGGTCGACAATTCGTCGCCGAAAATTTCCTGCGCGGCGAGGCGAGGATCGGCTAGACGATCTGTAGCGAAATTGCTTGTCTCGTCATCATCAGTTTCCACATTTATATCACGTTGTGATGTACTTTCATTAATAGTCTTCTCGCTGGCATGCATTGTATCGTCCTGTGTTTCATCTGCTTCGTTGTATGGTTTTAGGTCCGGCTGATCGGCCTCATCGCCCGGCTTCACTTCCTCGTTGATGAGCTCATAATCGACGCGAACAGCTTCGTTGTCGATGCGTAACAGATGTTTGACCTCCTTTTCAATTTCTGGGGCCTCCACGTTCTTCTTCTTAAGGGTCTTTCGGAAGCGCCGCTTGCGAACATTTTTGCAGGGTGGTGTAATGCCATGTGGCCACAGATATTTCTTGTCCACTTTATTGGGATCTTTTTTCTTATTTTTGTTAGGAGACTCCTTCTCAGTTTCATCTTCAGGATCCTCTTTGCAAATCAGCAGTTGGCATATGTCCGCGGACTTATAGAAACTTTTATTGTCTATTGTCTTGTAACTCTCCACAATGGTGGGTAAATCGACCAGTTTGGAGTAAAGGAGTCTATCGTCCAAACGTACTTCACCATAGCGCAAATCTTGATCAAGTTGAATACTCAGTCTGTCCTTTACGTTGCCTGCTTGTATCGCCTCATGCACTATAGTTGCATATTCCTAAGCACCGAAACATCAAAAGAAAATTCAAGAATATCGTGAAAGTGTAAACAATAAAATGACAAAGTTACCTTGGGAAAACGCATTATAAACTGATTCTCCAACTCCACGCCATCGTCGCGCGGCTTGAACTCCACTTGAACCACCTTCTTCTTTTCCAGCATTTCTGCAGAATCTCAGATAAATAAACGTCGGGAGCAGTGGCGAGGAAAACAAAGAAGCTCTTTTTGTCGACACCAATAAAGTATCGATAGCAAATACAAAGTTTCTATATATGTGTGCAGCTGTTTTGCGATTGTCAATTTATGTGATAGGTAGCACTGTTATAAACCTATTTTAATATTAGTTTTTTAAAGTTCACCGTGGTAAACTAACGCGTTGCGGTATGTTTTCATTTTTACGTATTGCAAAGAAACATAAAACAATGCATGTTCTAAAATGGTTAAAAAGCATCCCGCCAAATTTCAAATTTTAAATATATGTTATGTTGTAGTTATAAATCTTCAATGCCATTAATCCATTATAATCTTATCAGTAACTCATATACCAATGAGCTTTTAACTTTGCATAATTGTAAGTTTTATGGTCAATGGTTTCATTTTTATCTTTATTTGGATTTTTTAAAATTTGGTCTTGCTTATGTGGTGATGCCGTACTTATGTCACACCCGCAAAGTGCTACCCATTCAAATCTAATTATAAAATACTCACGATTGATAGTAGTACGTGTTATCGTGTCTTTCCTAATTGACAGTCATCCCCTCGCTTTTACTATGGAAAACACGGATTAGAAGATTTTTTTTTTTTAAACTTCTAACTTAAAAACGTGTTAGTAAGCATAGATTGCGCGTAATTTAGTTGACAGAGGGTAGAGCACGTAGCGGGAACCACAACACACAATGGCAGATGCACATTTTCTAGCCGGTGCGCTAACCTCGGCAATGCTGGTACTGCTCTCTACCACTGTCGTGGTCAATGGACTGTACGAGGACCAGATAAAGAAGTTTGACTGGTATGCAAGCTAATAAACTTGGGTATTGTTTCTTATAGTTTTAATATAAAATAACAATTCTAAAATAGGCGCAGCATGCATGTAGGCGCTGCAAAGCATATACACGTCGACTTGAATCACTTTCAACCGCGTCTGCTGCTCGGAACGCATGAACAAGTGGTGGCCTCAATATGCCCCAAAACAGGGGAGATTGGGTGGCGTCAGGTGCTGGAGCAAAAGGCACGTGGCGATATCAAATTGCTGCAGGTGAGTGGCTTTGCCGACGATAGCAGTGATACGGCCGCTGCTCCAGTTGGAACACACCTGGGATTCGATATGCTGACAGTTCAGGGTCATGCGCCTGCCTTGGTGCGTGGCTGGAACACGAACACCGGAACCATTGAGTGGGAATGGTCTGTCATGCCGCTTAATACCGAACGTGCACAGGATGCACATTGGTTCTATAGCAATTCCTTGCTTTATCATGTGGTACCCACATGGCGCAGCCATCTTGAGGTTACAGCATACTTTGGCACTTCTGGCCATACCACCGGCAGCACTAGCAAAATTATGGCAGCTTGGATTAAGCCCGAAAGCTGTTTGCTGAGCGGTACTTTCTTCGTTTGTGTAGATGGCAAGCAACTCATCAGCTTAGATCTTGTGGCCAAGAGCACGCAAGTCATTGCAACAACACTGGATACGGAGCCCACGAGTAAAGTTCAAGCATTAGCGGTAAGTTAGTATGGCAAAGCTAGAAAAAGGCACATAAAAACAAAACTTTTGCAGGGTCTAAATGGCGTTTTGGTGGTCAATAGAAAGCTTGTTAGTGTCAACAAAGCACAGACTGTATGTGATACACTCCAAAGCTCCAGCTATGCAGTTGGCACCTTCAATTATCGCAAAATTGTGGCCTATGGTGATCTCGCAGAAGGCGTAAGTAGCTTATATTTAAGAAAATAAACAAATTCACACTTTTTTGGTGTACAGGTGCTCAAAATCAAGGCCGCCTATCTGGATAATTGCGCCCCAGTGCCAGAGCTGGATCAAAGTTTGACATTTAATGCAGATTATGGAACGCCAAGCTTGCGGTCCTTCGACTGCAAACTAAAACGCAATGGCGATGGCAAGAGTTGCCTCTTCGTGTTTAGCACTAGTGCCGAATCCATTGTGGCAGTACAGCAAAATCGTGTGCGTTGGGTCCGTGAAGAGGCGTTAGCCAATGTGGTTGATTCACAATTCATAGATCTGCCTTTAGCTGACTCCGAGGGCACCCTTGAAAATGAAATGAAGGGAAAATCTGGTGAGTTTCTACGTTAAGCGGATATTAACAAATATACCTCTGAACCATAGGTGCAGACGGGATCAAAAATATGGTTAAAAGTTCCTTTCGGATGATTTGGTGGCCCAAGAGTATTTCTTTATTAAATCATTATTTAGTGATCCAAGAGTTTTTCATACATATATAAGACATTGAGCTAACCAAATTACCCAAGGGAAACAGAACGGCTATATAGGGAGATTTGTGGGTCATCTTGCACTACTTATCGAATCTAATACTAATAACTCTAAATTAAAATTATACTCGAAAATGCTGCCAAATATTAAAAGTGGACGCTACTGGTTTTGAGAGTAAGTTAATGGATTCTGATCAAATTCTCTCTGTATTATTTGAAATTAATTGTTCATTTTAATTGAATAATAATTACTTTTTTTGTAGATTTTTAATTTCTTTATTTTGTTGACTCGGTTAATCAAACAATTACTTTTGATTTATCAACAGCTGATATTGCAAGCGCATTTTTGCGTCGTATTACAACGCAGGCTATCCAAATCAAGAGCCTATTTCTACATGTCATTGGTTTGGGTCCACCACCAACTGATACCCAACGTGCTGGTCTGGTTAGGGACTCCTTTGGTCTCCACAAAATGCTGGTGCTGTTGACACGATCAGGCAAAATATTTGGCATTGATAACATTATTGGCAAACATCATTGGCAACTATATTTACCGAATGTGGTGGGCTTTGGAAACGATGAAAATATGCGTTTGATTGTGCAACGCACATCCAAGCATTTCCCACTTCAGCCGCTGTGCACAATTGTGGCCAAGGACCTGGTAAGCATGATGCTATAATTTTGACATAAATAAATAATAAGTATAAGTGCTTTTATTAAACAGAGCACTGGCAATGGCGTGCTATATCGTTTCAACCCGATAACTGGACGTGCTGCAGAAGGTGGTCTTTTGCAATTGGATTATCAAATCAAACAGCTTTCCTTACTGCCAGAGGCGGAGCCTGATTTTGTGAAGGGCATTTTGTTGCTGGATGCCACAAATAAGGTGCATGTGCATCCAAAGCACGCCACCCAATTGGTAAATTACAAGCATTTCTAAAATGTTATGCTTTTGTATAATAACTTGTTTGTTTTTCCAGGCGGATGGCATGTATTTGTATACAGCGGATGTGAAAACATCAGAGCTAGCGGGTTACTTTGTAAAATATGCGGGCGAAGTAAGTGTGTTGTGGTATTCTTTAATGCGTAAGCTAAATGATTTCAATTCTCGTATTCAGAAACTGTCCACCACGCCCATTTGGACTGTGCACCTATGCGGTCATAATAACGAACAAAAAATTGTCGCAGTCGCCGGCAAGAGCTCCATTGAGCATGTGCACTCTCAGGGTCGCGTGCTAGGTGATCGTTCAGTACTGTACAAGTATATTAATCCCAATTTAGTTGCTGTCATTACCCAAGCGCCGGATGCACTGCACAAATGTAAGAGCACGTTTGTGGTATTTAAGAACTCCAATTGTTAATAATATTTTATTACACAGCCATTCTCAATCTGTACTTGATCGATGTTGTGTCCGGATCTATTGTATTCACTATGACGCATCGCAAAGTGCGCCCGCCAGTACATATTGTGCATTCGGAAAATTGGCTGGCCTACTCCTATTATAATGACAAAGTGCGACGCACTGAGATAAGTATGTTCCGACTTACTATATTTTGTACTTTGCTCAGTGTATATTTGCCTTACAGCTACCATTGAGTTATATGAGGGTAAAACGCAAGCCAATAGCAGTGTGTGGAGTTCTTTGAAGGCCCCGATGATGCCGCTTGTCGAGCGTCAGTCATATATCATTCCCACTGTAGTGGAAGCCTTGAGAGAGACCATAACCGAGCGTGGCATTACCAATAAGCATGTTTTAAGTGAGTATAATATAATTCGTTCTTTTTGTCTCTTTAATTCAACCATTAATTCCATTCTTTACAAATATTAGTTGGCACTGCTAATGGCGCCATTATTGAAATGCCATGGGCCTTGCTCGATCCGCGTCGTCCCATTGCATCCACGACACAAGGTCGCGAAGAGGGTGCAATACCCTACATACCAGAGCTGCCTTTGCCTACAGAGAACTTTATCAACTACAATCAGACGATTGCACGTTTGCGCAATATTTATACCGCTCCCAGCGGTCTAGAGAGTACCTGCCTAGTCGTGGCCACTGGCTTAGGTAAAAACATTTATATATTTAATAATGAATATGGCTAAGTAATCAGTGCTTTCTTGCAGATTTATTTGTTACGCGTGTTGCGCCCTCAAAGACATTCGATTTGTTGAAAGAGGACTTCGACTACATACTTATTTCTATTGTGTTAGTCGCTCTTACATCGGGCTCGTTGATTGTTAGGCATTTGGCGTCGCGTAAATTGCTCAAGCAGGCGTGGAAATAGACGCTTATTATATTTGCTTTAATACACACATTTTACTGCGACCAAATACAACACAAATGATGGAGAAGGAAAGAGGGAATAACGTAATTCTAGTAGCTGCATTAATGATACATACAATTAAAAGAAAAACCAATGTTTTTCAATGCGTTTAAGCCTAGGCAATTATTTATAATTAATTATATAGCATAAAAACATTCTTAACTGTTGAAGAAATGTTTAATTAACAATGCGCAATTTGCGCAATATTTTTTGTTCCTTTTTATGTTTTTTTCTCCCCCCCCCAATATCCATTGAAAATATCAGCATTGAAATTGTATGTTTGAAATTTAGTTAATAAAGATTGTGTAAATGGAGGCCAATGGTAAAATGTATAGTTTTCTACACTTCAATAAACATCTTCCTAGCTCAATGTAGTTAAAGCTATTTTGAATTTATGAAAAGGCCCGCATCATACCATTGGCTACTGATCTGGCAACGCCACAAAACAGCTGTTCCTGCCTTCATTTCATGCCGTGTGCAGTACAATATCATGGCATTGCGTGTTTTGGGCCTAAATTTAATAAAAAATAACATAAATCTACTGCAAAATGCTTGCAGAATCAATGCCACGTCTACTACCCAGGCGGTAAGTTATTAAATCATTGATAAAATTTGCGTAACATATTAAATGCGAATGTTTACCTTCACATGCGTTTGCATAACCTTTGGCGCTCCAGCCTTATTGTAACCAAGTGACGGTTCATGCTGCGCCGGCAGCAGTGCAAAAACAAAAAGTAAGCAAGGCGATGAAGGCATATTTGGAACGTGCACGGGAAAATGACGAGTTCATGAAGACACAGGATCTGGATTTTCAAATTGGAAAACGCCATTTAGCAAATATGATGGGTGCTGATCCGGAGACCTTCACCCAGCAAGACATCGATGTGAGTATCTATTGGCGTATCATTCCTTCAATTACTAATATAGTATATGTATGTTCCTTTAGGATGCCATCTCGTACTTGTTTCCATCTGGTTTGTTTGACAAACGTGCACGTCCCGCCATGAAAAGTCCGGATGAGGTTTTTCCAGCGCGCAAAGCAGCCGAATTCGATGAGACTGGTCGACCTTTTCACTCCATGTTCTACACAGGGAAGCCGAACTTCTTTCAGCTCTTGCACGTATGTACATTTTTCTGTAGCTGCAGCCAGAAAAACTGAATAATCTATTTGCTTAGGACATTGTCGAAGAGACCAATAAGCTTTACGATTTAGAAGAACGTATGCTACGACGCGGAAATAAACCGGATGAAAATCAAAAGATGTATGTTAAAATAACTTATGTAACAACCATTTTCAACATTAACATATATTCCTTATTCTAGTGAAATGGCCGGTTTTCAAATGCTGCCCAAAGATCAACTGGAAGTTAAATTAGTGGAGACAATAGCCGATATTGAGTATTCGAACTTTGTATCTAGCATGGAGCGTTTAATTGCATCACCCTTTTCATATAAGAGTAAAAACTTTATTGAGCGCTACTTAAAGCCCCTGATCGATCAATCCAAGCAGCTCGAAGTTCCCAAACCAAAGATCGATGAACAGGGACGCCAATATATTACCACATATGGTGAGTGCGAAAGTGTGAATTGTTAAATATTGGGTACTAATTAATTATCACTTTTTATAGAGTGCTTGCGTAAAACGGCAAGAGCTGACGTTACCGTACGTATGCCGGGAACTGGAAAAATAAACATCAATGGCAAAGATATATCATACTTCGATGTGGAACAGTGCAGAGAGCAGGTGAGCTTAAAAAATACCCTACCTTTATTTAGTCTCTGTGGATAAAATGAGTGTCAATCGATCTTGTCTTCTTTATCGCATGTTTTATTGTAGAATTGCTTTATTGCTTTCTGCAGTTATACCTAATTTCCGTTCTGGTCATTTCTCTTCATAGTATAGACCCTTTTCATAGCCTGTACCCGCAGGGTAAAAAGAGTATACATGGTTGGCGCAAAGTATGTAACAGGCAGATAGAAGTATGTCCAAATGTCTTATTCTTAGAGGAGCTAGCGTTGTTGGATTAGGATGCTGAGATAGACTATCGTTGTATCTACTATTAACCAAATGTATCTGGTTTTCAATCAGAATTTTGTGAAATCCGTTCTCCAAGCCACAGCGCTTCATTCTGCTGATCTTATTAAGTTGTGCTGTAAGAGCCGTGACCAAATTTTGAATGACCCTTTGAAATGTTCAATACAAATGCACAGTTCATCGCATTTCAAAGGTATAACAATATTATTTATTTTAAAGCATATAAATTTATAAATTATCATTTAAACGCTTCTAACGACAACGCCAAACAACAAAACACAGCCTATAACGCCACAAACAAACCAAGCTCGTCGGCTTCCATGCTAACTGCTCGCCTCGAGCGTAACTACAACTTTTACTACTAAATATACATTTGTTGGATTGATTAGATAGCTATATATATGTAGTAGGTATGCATAGTGCGCCACATATGAATTTCAATATCAATTTGTTTTAACTACAACGCTGCTAATATCATTAATCTTTTTCAATTTCTTATGTGCTAGTCTTGTAGAAAATGTCTATTATTCTAATTTCGATCAATTTTTCGCTTGCACCAAATGCACATTATCTTTTTCTTGTTTGTATAAATATATGTAGAAGTATGTGGTATATAGTATAATATCAGTTTCTCTTAGACTTCAGAGCTCTAAATGCTATTCACTTTCTTAATGCACTATTTTCGCAAATTATTCTTCTGCTGATTGGATATTACAATCAATAGTTTATCAATAACTTTGCTCGCCTGTTGCTGCTGTGATATGAGGGCTTGTTTCAGCTCCTGTATTTCCTGGGTGAGAACCTCAATGCGATCCGCGTTCTCATCGATTTTGTTTGTCAATGTTGTGAATTGTGTGATCTCAGGATCCTCTCCTGGCAGCACGTACGCACTGCTCCCATTGTTGTTGTTGTACTGATTCTTATACTGTAAATAGTTCTCTGCGGGATTTTTGGAGGAGACCGTGTGTCCGAAATGTTTGCGCATTTTCCCCACCTCATAGGCCTTCATTAATATGTCACGCGGCAGGCGCTTCTCACTGGGATTCAGGGGTTTCACACAAAGCACCACACGATAAGCTTGCGGCGACACCAGAGCCGTATAATGCAATAGATTGCGTAGCCAGGTGGGCAAATATCCATTGAACAGCGCTGACTCAATGTACGATATCAGCTTCGTCTGACGCACCAACTTGGAGAGTCCAGCCGTCTTTTTTAGTCCCTGTATATCGTGCACCGCAATGCCCACCAATAGATTCATCAGAATGATGGTGACAAACAGCAAAAACAGCACAAAGGTAATCTGTGCGCTGACCTCCAGCAGAAACGGCGGATCCTTGCCATCGGGATCGTTGATGAGCAACGAAAGGTCCTGCTCTCCTATCATCATAACTAGCACTGTGATAAAGCCCATAAAGGGATTAGCAAACGAGGAGGACGATGGAAATATGACACAAAAGCTAATCGTGAATCCAATCAGCATACACGAGTAGGCCATAAATAATTTGGCGAATTCACCCTGGACTCGAGTGTACATCGCCACATAGACATCGAAGACGGGCAGCTGTCCAATCATTAACATCAAATTGGTCCATCCCAGCAGCACGGCAAAGGCTCCTATATGATTTTGAAAGGTGTAGGTCTGCTTCGTATAGATGTATGATATTATAAAAACGCTCGTGATCACAAACCACTCCATAATATTCTCTACTTGGGTAACATAATGCTTAAACGATGAGTAGCCCGTTATCCCGTAGAGTTTCCGAAATATCTCGACTATGGTGATGGCCACCAGCACCCACCACTGCATTTCCATCACAAACGGATTATTGCGCAACATATCACCGAGAATTGATTGTTTCTGACACAATTCCTGAGCTTGAATGGTCGTATTATCGTCCTTGCTCCCATTATAGCAATTATGCGCCAATGCCGTCAGCACATAGAGCGTCAGAAAGAGCACAAAGCTAAAGCAAAAGATCAGTCGTCCTATATAGTATTTGCGTATCTTGCCCCATTTGATATACAGAAATGAGGAACATAGTGGATGCTCTAGAATTTCCTTCTGACCCTCGTCCACAAACGTGTTCAGATAGCTTATCTCGCGCGGATGACAATGCTGCAACAGCTGACGAAAATCCAACTCTAGTTCAACCTCACGATTGACGGGATCCTGAAACGATTAAATGAATCCACAAACAATTATTACATAGATTAGAAATTTTAAAAATTACACAATATCTGTTTTCGAAGATTATATTTTTCATTCCTTAAACGGGCCATTATGGAACAGCTTAATAGATTTCAGTTTTGATCAATTGGTAGAAAAGATTATAGAATATATTATTGCAACTCCACTTCTACTTTAGTGCAAGACAGTGGAGAATTTGTCTTGAAATGACAAAAATATATTGCAAGAAGCAGAAAAGAAGAGCACTATGGCCATAGTGTGCTCTTTTGTACCCAAATTTTGAGCTCCATACAAGGTGACAAGGGTAGCTCCAATTCAATTATACAGAGAGTATTTGTCTCATCTAGGAGGCATCATTTAAGACTGAGGCTTTAGAATTTATAAAGGTATACTCAAGCAGTTAGAAAAAAATATTTTCAGAAATAAAATGGGGAACGTAAAAAAACTAAAATAAAATAAACAGGAGAATTTCCCAGGGGATTGGTTCGTAAGCTCACCTGTGAGTGATGCAGCGTAATAGCGGCATCCAATTTCTGTCTTATCATGGCCACTGAAGCGGGCGTCTTTCGTGTGATTACGTTCAGAGCGGATGTGCCTTTCTTCGATTTCGTAGTGACATCGGCACCATGGAAAATGAGCATCTCGACGCACTGTACGAGGCCATCGAGGGCGGCCAAATGGAGCGCTGTAAAGCCATAAGTATCCTTGTGATTTACATTGGCACCCCACTGTATGAGGATCTCCATGATGTCATAGGCATTTTCCGATTTTCCCACCGCCGCATGCAGGGGAGTTCGCAAATCGAAATCCTCGGCATTGGCATTCGCATTTCCATTGCGCAGAAGCGACTCAACACATTCCAGACTGGAGGTGCGCGCTGCCAAGTGAAGGGGCGTAAATCCTCGATGGTTCTTCAGCGTTGCATCGGCACCCTTCGATAATAAGAGATCCACACACTCCACATTGCCTTCGTCGGCTGCCAGGTGAAGAGCTGTAGATTCTTTCTCTCGTATACAGATGCGTACATTGGGGTCGGCATTGGGCGCATTCAGGAGTGCCTCCAGGCACTGCAAATTTCCCAGATCTGCGGCCAAGTGTATGGCATTGGTGCCATTCGGCTTGAGCGAGTTGACGTCGGCGCCCTCGCTGATGAACAGCTGTAGACATTCGAGGGCATTGGAACGCACCGAACAGTGCAGGAGACTCTCCTCACAGTTGGGCTTGCTCGTATCCATGGTGATGTCGGCGCCATTATTTATCAAAAACTTGGCCGCCTCCGCGGCATTGCCAAAGGCTGCACAATGCAGGGGCGTATAGCATTTGGACTGTAGGTTTACATTTAATCCTTTGCCAACCAATAGGCCCAATGTGGCCAAACAGCCACTAAAGGCTCCCAGATGGAGAGCCGAAATGCCATTTTGATCGCAAAAATGTAAATCGGCACCGGCCTCCAATAGACTCTCGAGCAGGTCCCAACGTTTCAGGAATGCCGCCCACAAGTAGCTTAAATTCTTCTCCAATTTCGAGGCGGATTCGAAATGTGTCTTCACGTTCTCCGCCACCACGTTGCCCTGTTCGATGTCCTCGAGGAAGCGCACACGACCTGCCGAACTTTTCATCTGATCGATCAGACTTATTCGCAGCGTGTCGTTGCATATTTGGACACTCAGCTCGCTCGTCGGCTCCTCGAAGCTATCGTACATGCTCGGCGCACTCTCCGCCGGCGGTGATGGTCCGCACTCCATGTATTCGAATTCACCAGTTGTCGGGTACTGAGCTTCGATCATGGCATCAGTGTTGTTGCGCCATCGCACCATCAGATTGGGTGGTATCGATTTAAAGCTGCACATATTTACATGGAGAGGGGCATGGGGGAAGGAAGAGAACAGAACAGAACAGAAAGAAAGGGGTTTGCGATTAGTCAGCTATTCATTTACTTGAAAACAGTTGTCCAACTTTTAAACGAGTATTAGCTGATTAAGTAATCAGCCTAAACAGTTTTTACAACCCCAACCACTTGTTTGTTCGCTAAAATGTTTTTTAGAGCCATGAGTGTTTCTCAGAATGAAAACATTTAGAAATGCACAAGTTGTGGCTGCATCGACGTTTTAATAACCATACTAAAAAAACAAAATATGCCAAGCATGAGCATTAATTGGGCATGACGGTACAGTTCTAAAAATAAATAAATAAATACTATATTACTTCATAATAATATCTGTCAATATTATTTAACGTGGTTCGGGATTTCTACTATCTTTACATAACCATGATTCAGTACGAAAATCTCTATTGATTCTCAACATATTTGAAGAAGTAGAAATCTTTGCAATGCTATCAGATCTGTTCACGTTCACGTTTCCGATTTCGATTTAATTTTTCGGAATCAAAATTGCTAGCTGTTCCTGTTTCCGAAACGCGGTTTCACAAGCATTAATTCATTATTAGAAGTAATTTTTATTTAAATATTTAAGATATTTTGTAGATTTATAGGCGTTCGTTTATTTTAGATAGTGAAGCAAATTTTTATTGATTTCAATTTTTTATAAAATTTGAGACGTTTTTTTTTATTATTTTTATTCTAAGTTATTTTCAATTTAAATTAATGAAAATTTAGCACTTATTTATTTCATCATACTACTTGACTTCCGTGTTTATATGTTAAATCAATTTTATACACTTATTTATTTAACGATTGTAATTTGGTTCGGAAACGGGAGCACTATATTTATAGCAAGTCGGAGTTTCAATCGTATTACTTTTGAAAAGTAATCGGAAAAAGTGCAGTGATAATCTATTACTATTTTATTTATTTCAATATTTCAAGGGTTCATATTCCATCGATGTGCATTAAAAGTTAAATTTCGAGTCGCCAATACAAATGTATTTCTTTTAAAAAGTGACAAGTTACATTTTATTTATTATTATATTTGAAGTATTAATTATTAATAATTGAAGACGACTCAGTGGTCCGTATAGATTAATAACTAACGAACTACAGAACATTCATAAGAAAAAAAGAAGTGACGGAGCTTTACTCATATTTTTACACAAGGGCATATTTATTTATTTATATTTCAGAAATTGTTACTACACACTAATAGTAGAACATGATGCGGGGTTTATTTTTTCACTAACAAATAAATGTTAAAACATAGTGCCAATCAATTCATTTTTTCAAATATGCCACGTATGCTAAGTTATTCTTTTCTCCGTTCATTGTGTTATAAAACTACAAAGTATGTGTATTGTAGTTGTTGTGTGGTTGTTGTTTTTATAGTTTGTTGTTGAACTGACACTGAAACTGAAACTATAGTTCATACGCTTAACATGCATAAATTTAAATACATAATTCTTTCAAGTTGTGCCCAGTTAGCGAGTTTTAACGTTTTACGAACTTTGTCTGTGAGTAGTGTTTTCCTCATTTATATTTTATTTATTTCTTTATTTACTCGTTTTTTATTCACTTTAATTTTAATGAAATGTTGGCTTGAGTAAAACAATAAAAGAAACAAACGAAACAAGTCGTCACTTTTTCAAGTACATTGTCAATGCGTTTGTGCCGGCATTTCTTTTCTTTGTGTGGGCTGTAGTTCCCATGGTTGAGGTATTGTTCAGACATGCCTAGAAATGCCTAGAATAGTATACTGATATAGTATAGTATTTGTCGATCTCTTAAATGCATTCCATGGCCAAATTTTGCATGCCTATCAAAGCACGACGACTTCGGTGCACTTGTTGTGTAAGTTCGTTGTGTGTGTGGCATTTGATTTGCATAATTTTTGAAATTCTCAATTCTGTTTGGTCAAGATGTAACTCTGACTGTTGTTAGATACTTATGTATGTACTATATACGATAAACGAACTAATATATGTATGTATTCCATTCAGTCTACGAACGTACACAGTTTGCAGCCAAATCCACGGATGATGCCAGTTCGCTAATGAGCTATTTTCAATTTCTAATTTCATTTCCAAAAAAAAGTCGCACACTCATATGATGTATAGTATGTGTATTAGATGCACACACGCTGATTGACAGATTGATCAACTGACTGATTGGTGGAGCGGCTAACAAACGGGCCAAGTGGCTTACAATGGACGCCTTTTGTAGCTCTCGAACAATTATTTAACAGCGGAACGGAAAATGCAAAAATGTTGTGTGAAAAACGCGAATTTTTCGCTTCCGTTTTGTTGTCGCTAATGTTGCTGTTGTCGTTTGGGTTCTCGATTTTTTGTTAGCTTTGTTGTTGTTGTTGCTGTGACGCTCGACTACGACAACGACAGCGACTACGAACGCGTTTTACCTTTTTAACTAGCGACTAACGCGTCCGTCTGCATTGTTGTTTCAAAACCGACTGAACACGAAAAATAACCGTAAGAGCGGTTCCCAGTTTGAAGCCCCAAGCTGGCAATCGTCGACTCGATGGTGGCAAATAAACATAAATATCTGAGCGGGCGTCAGATCAAGAGAGTCAGCCGCACCAACTGAGAGAGCCGAAGCAGGCACAGAGGCGTCCGAGCGCGAAAATCTCACTTGCCAAAAAAAAAAAAAAAAAAAACTACAAAACTGAAACACTTTCAGTCAGAGTCAGAGGCCAACAGGTGATCGACAGTAGATATTTAGCCCATTTAACTGGGCAGCTAGGATGAGAGCAAGTTTCAAATATTATGTAATGTCCTATAGACTTCATGGAGCTGAACAGAAAACGATCCCATCGAAGGAGACAGAGAAAGATGATAACTTTCTTTCTCACATTTTGTCAAGCAATATAGCTGGATGATGGCATAGAAAAAAATGGAATGAGAGAAACAGATAGAGAGAAAAAAGAGAGAAAGGACTATCATCTGTTAGGATGTGGATGCGCTGTGAGCTATTAAGTGGATTTTTTCTATTACTAAGTGATTAAAGCCACACTGCTTATTAGAAAAAACCGGATTTATTCCTATATACTAGTAATTGATCAGAAGAACTAATACGGATTAAACTCAATAGTCATAATTATGTATTTTTCGAAAAATATAATCTTTCTTGATTCAAAATTAAGTCTAAATAATGTTAGCGTTATTCATATATTATTAATGTGCTACTATGGGTTGCTTATAAAGAGATTTAAAAAATTCAAAAACTAGTGTTGATATCGTATTCTTTGATTTTATTGTCTTTAATTTCAATGTTCTAATGCCCAGTTTTATTCGACCAACAATATTATTTATTGTTTTACTCAGACGATTTCTTTGAAGATTATTTTATCCGCCATATTTCCATATTTTTATAATTCTCCTAAATGTTTGCTATGGATAACAGAGCCTACAATTTAAAGCCAACGAATATTCCAATTAACGGGTTGGTATTAAATATATCTAAATCTAAACTTTACTATTTTTAGCTCTTACTCAAATTTCGTTGAAAACCCCGCATAATTTGTACAATAAGTGTTAAAAAAATGTTGGCATCTGAGTCCTTCTTTATAATCACCACCTTTTATAAATAGACCGACTATATATAGTATGTATTCACAAATGACATCATGAAAACAGAGTAGGTGCCAATTGTAATCACGCTTCTACATAGATCACATTCCAAACAAATCCAACAATACAGAAAAATTTGTTATGTTAAAGAGTACAATCAACAATTTGATATCGCAGAGTAATGAAGTGAACGTAATTATTTTTGTAATAAAATGCTTTTGTTAACAAAATTATTTTCTAGCATGCTCATTTGCTTTTATAATCACAATAATTATATCTTTATTCTGCTTATCGAAGTGTTACACAATAACAAAAAATCAAAGCCGTGAATCTGCAAAAAGTAAAGGGCTAGAAACTGAAACGAACGTGAGAATTATTTCGGAGATTGATTTTGTATAGCTGTGGAAATGAATTGAACTTCTCTATTACGCTGTGGAATTTATGATTTAATATGCATTAAATATCTCTGTTCAGGTATTTATTTATTGTTCGTGCTCATTGGTTAACTACTATAAGCAATTCCAGTTGGAACCGCCGCAATGCGCTTCGTACTTATTTAATTGTTAAAGAAGAACATCAGCTAGCCAAAAAGACAAAAATTGGCTTACAGAGTTCACAATCAGCTGAAGATTAAATGTTTAACGAGAGAAAGAGCTTATAGATTTTGTCACAGTAGATGTAACAACAAAAATGTTTGCATGTATGAACCCCCTGTGGGGGTTTCTCCCACTTCTATGCAACTTAATTTGTTTTTCGCTTGTACTATAATGTATATTTGTTACTAATTAATCAATACTAAGCTTTGCTCAGTTTTATCTTCAAGCGGTTAGGGAACAGTTCTATTTCATCTCTATGAACATCTCCATTTCATACACTATAGAAGCTAAGAAGGCAGCTCTCGCTAGTTTAAATTTATTTCATAATGGAGATATGTCAAGATTATACTAAGATTGAAATTATCACTTGTATTTTTTTTTAAACATGATTGAATATCTAAACATTTTTACGAAAATTAGTGTTTATTTCATCAAAATGAAGCAGATAATCCCGTTTTCTACATTTTTCCTTAAGATTGAGGTCGCTTCATGTTTTTCTTTGTTGTTGTTGTGACATTTTTTAAATGCATTTCGTTGCGTTTTTGTTTTCTTCAATGTATTGCTTTTTCTTTGAGTTTGTCGCGACTGCGATTCGACAACATACTCGAAAAATTGACACCAAAAAAGTTGCATTGGCACTACTTACCGGTTATTTGCATTATTTTCATTCAACGGCTGTTCGGCTTCGATCTTTGTAACGACGCTGATGGAACGTGTCATGCGCCGCGGCTTCGTGCTGCCCTCCTTATAGCCCAGATTCTCCATATTGGTGTTGACAGAGGGGTAGGGGTGGGGGGGTGGAGACGAACGCGAAGACGAAGACTAAAACGTAGACCGAGAGACGATCAAGGCAACGTTTACTTTTATCTGTAGTTGAAGTTTAAGTTGTTGTTGTAATTACAAAAGAAACGCGCAAATATGCGCATTTGATTGCCAGCAGTTGTTGTTGTTGTACTTGTTGTACAAATCCAAGCAAGTTCTTTTAAAAGCTGTGACAAAAAACGACGATAATAGTGCGACAAGCAGAACTTTCCAATATTTCTCGCAGCAGTGTTTGCCAAAATTTTTAGAGCTCAATACCAGTTCGCAATGGCATTTTCGTTTTTAACTGTAAAGATAATATTGATGTTGGTTGGCATTACAATTTATATTTATGCATGATTGATTCGCTGATTATCTAAACACTTGTTTGCACTTTAATTTAAATTGAAATCAAATATGTTAACGCTTTTCTCACACTTGATCGATCTGAGGCCGCGTCTGTCGAGAGAACTGAATTCGTCCACCAATATAGCTGAAATAGGTTGTCTAAGCCCCTTGGCTTTCGTTTTAAAGCAGATATCTGCGCAAATATTAACTTTTGCGTCACTTTTCTTGAATCTACGAGTACTATAGTCTCTGGCTACGTACTTTCTCTGGGCAGCAATTGGTTAGAATAAAGACTATCCACGCGCTAACTGCGGCAGAATTGGGAGCTTATCAACCAACTTGACGTTGTGTACAGATCTAAGATAAGACATAAACAGCATCAGACATAGCTCTGAGATAAAACTCTAGGCGTACGTTCAACCAGTAATAGATAGTTCAAATCCAGTCAGCTGTTTTGGGGTCTTATCTAAAAGAGCTACTGGATAATTTGTATACCAAGTATATCGGTCGGTTTTGAACAAGCGTAGTGGTAGAGCTTTTCTTCTGGTTTGTTTGGTGCCTAACCTGTGGCTCTTGTTCTTGATACCTACTCAGATAAGAGACCCGAAGTGTAGACAATGATATATTACAGTTCAGAGCTAAATAAATAAATTTGAATAGCATGGAATATTTTAATATATTATTGCGTCCAAAATAAAAAAGGCTCCAAATTTATATGACAATTTCGTAGTTAATCGACTTTTATGAATAAGCTGAAATATTGAGAAACTTCGAGGATAAGAACACATTGCTATAATTTAGTGTTACACGTGCCACTAACTATTTGTTCTTTATGCGTAACATTTTTCATTATCATCTTTAAAGTGTCACTACTAAAACTCTCAGTTTATAGGTACTAGGCTATAAAGCTATGTGCCTATTTAACTAACAGTACTTAGCTATAAATATAGATGAGGGATAGATGAGAAAATGCACATGGACTTCAAATTTGTTCTACTACTTGAGTAATATTTATAACAAGTTTTGATACATAAGGCTCTAATATTTCGGGATTTATAATAGAATTGATTCACCCAGCAAATGCATATTGAAATTTTAATAACTCTAATTTAATATTTGCGTTTTGTATGAATTCGAGCTTAATAAGAAATAATAACTTTAGAACACCATTACATTCTCAATTCCAAATTGCTTATGTTACTTATAAACTATCTAGTTAGTAGGATGGTAGTAGATTACATTAGATAATAGTATCTACTAGTGTTCAAATTTCACAATCCAATAGTTTAAAATTAATATCGAATTTTTTTCATTTTCAAAACGGGTGCAACGTTTCTGATAGGATTTATCGACGATTTATAATGACGAAGTAGATTCCAAAATATGCCTCTGAGCCAAAATGTTCTTTCTTCTTCATAAAGAAATAATATCGAGTAGGTACTAGTACTACTTATATAAGTCTAAAAGAGCCCCAATCAAATAATTTCGTTGATAAAGCTCTTTGTACAGGCTTTTAAATGAGTGCGTATTTTATTTTTCTATGACTGTGTGATTTATAGAAGTCAATTAATAATCGAATTTTACAATTTCTACATTTGAATATTTGTAGCTTGAAGGGATAAACACCTAGTTATTTTGAAAAGCTTTATGTTCCCGAAAATTTTTTAAACTGTAATTTCAATTTCCCCAATGTGTAGAATTTCAATTATCAAGATAAATTTTTGTACGCCTAATAAATTGTGAACAATTCAAATGAAATACCTTAATGCATTTTCTGAATAATTGGATTTCCAGCCAAAATTGATTGTTGGCTGAAGCTATCGCAATTTCCAAATATTTCTATTCCAGAAAATATCTTTTTCGTCAAGTATTGTTGGTATTACCAATTAGGTGTTTGATTAGAATGGCCAAAATAGTGGCGAGTTGAGTTAAGTGGCGGCATCATCCTTCAAAATTTTGCAATTGTTTGGTTAAATCAATATTCATATGTCAGCAGAGAACGCCTTATGTTTACCTAACATCAACAA